TGGCGTTATTTCTCGGTAGCTGTATCAGACCCTTCGTTAATATTAGGTACTGTCCTCCGGCTCATCGCTTCAATATATTGCTCGGGCACGATCCGCGTCAATTAATATCGACGGTACCAGGATGCTGACGTCCGTTGAAAGCTTGGCTTCAAGATATATGGATATAGATATAGATATATATATTTCACTGAAATTCCAAAGCGTACCGCAATGGAAAAAGCATCCTTTCCGACGTCGGAGGCGGAGAACGAGAGGAAGAAGAGATCGCCGGCTGCGGATACCGGATGGAAAGTCCCATCAATATTTTCCAATCAACATTCGATTGCCGGGCGATATACGCGAAGGATCGGCCTCGTTCTCGCGAAGGAAACCACGGTGCCAGGGTGAAGAGGGAGGGGGGGGGGACAATGCGGGGGCGCAAGAGGGTTCGAAGTGTAGGCGTATATGGTAGCGGTATGCGCGGCATAGCACGCATAGCGTCGCGACGCCCCGACGCCATATTGCATTATTAAGCACCCCCGTCTCGACCCGGGTATCCCCCTTTCGCTCCCGCATTCCGGCATTATGAACGTTTTTATCCCTAAAAGGCGTGAGAGCGCAAGGACCGACTTATCTGCCGTTGGCCCGCGATCACCAGCCCTGTGGGGTTCGTTGCACCACCCGTCGCACAGCGCCGGGAGCAAGTTGTCCCTCCGTGTGGACGCATCACGCGTGCCCTTTGTCCCGTTGAAATTATATGCGTCCGAACACGACGCGTCTTGCGTGGAATCGCGATGAGTCTCTCCGCCGGTCTCGAGAATGATAAAACGAAACCAATGATAAAACGATAAATAAGGGAAACGCTCGCATTTTTAATTATTATTTAATTAACGCGTGACGCGCGTTAGGCTTATCTTAAACAGATTGCATCTGCGTCTGGGTCGCATGTTCATTTCGCGGAATGAGCCGCGATGACAGTCCCGAGTTAATTAATTTCGAGAGTTAATGATCGTCCCTTTCCAAATTGAAATGCCGCGTAGTATTAAACGGGGAACAAAGAAAATTTAATTAACCAGAATTCGCTCTAATTGATGACCTAAATAGAGACGTATACCTTAAAGCGTAGGTACTTACTCAATGCAATTAATCGTTCCGCGTCAAACAGGCGTGATTTCGCAAAATTAAATTTTCGAAGAACCGAAATTTATTTTATATTCAGAATCGCACAAAATTTTTTCGTAAAAATGAAAATGAAAATATTAATTTATAGCGCAATAAATATTTCTTCACAGTTTTATCAAGTTTCGTCCTGAAGTTCTTGGATATCGTGCTCTCTCTTTGTGGAGAGAGATGGAATCTTCAGAAAAGGAAAGAAAAGAGAACGAAAAAATAAGGGTAGGTTTTTTAAACATACATCTCTCCAACATTCGAAAATTCAATTACCGCGTTACGAGAGGGCGATATCGTTACCGGCAATACCGAAATATACGGCATTTATATCAATTCCGTTGCTATCAATATCGTGACGCATTACGGATCGTTCCATCATAATCGACGAATATTCCATAACGCTTTTAGATTAACGCTCGAGCCGCCTGACTTTCCCCCGAGCTATAATTATTACGTAAATTGACCCGGCGAATGCCGCCATCATCGCGGCAGCTAATTTCAGCGGTAAAGAACATGAGGGATCTTATCTCGATGATGATTCTCGCCGCCTCCTCCTTCCCACGATCGAAAGGTAGAGCGTTCCGCGATATCCGGGGCCGCCGCCGTCGCCGACACCGTCGTCGTCGTCGTCGTCGTCGATTCTTTAATGCGGAGGAGGAAAGAGAGGTCAAGGATTTCCATCTCGTTCTCAGCATCCCCGAGCGTTCCCTCTCGGCGAGAATCAACGGGCGCCTTCTGTGGCTGGCACCCTCTTAATGATGCCTACGTGGCCCCTCCTTTTTCCATTGTAATAAACCGCGAGAACGCCAGCATCCAATTTACTCGAGTGAACGAGGCATCTGTGCGGGGGTTGTCTTGAATCACCGGATGTCCTTTTAACCGCGGATCCCGCGGTCGATTTCAAAAGAATCGACTTTTTTCCTTCCCTCAATGAAGATGTCGAAGCAATTTCTGAGTAATTAACGAGCAAAGATTATATAATGGCCGTTCTCAAACTATTCTAGGAAGCAAATGAAGAACGAAACATATTTTTCAGTCAAGTAACTTTATTAATTTAAAACTTAGCTATGAATATATTATAACGTTAAAAATTGGAAGAGTTGCAAGAAGAAAAATAAATGACGAGCTTCTTGATTTTTCTGGTCAGAGAAAGCGGTTTTAGATCGGCTGAAAGATTCATTCAAAAGGCCATTCTGAATACTATCGAATACTTTTAATAGTAGGTCCCCATCATCGATTTTTAAAAAATTTCTGGTAAAAATAGAAGAAAGAAGCTGGAGTATTCAAATAATTGTATAAATATTTCCAAGTCTATCACGTCATAGAAGATCTCTCTCCTTGCTAAAAGTTGTCCCGTCTTCCTGCCGATCTACTCCGTTTTTTATCTTTTTAGTTTTACATGCTATTTTGCAAAACTTATAAGAATAAATACAAGATACTAAATAAACCTAACTTTAGATAATAATAATCTTTTTTTGCACCGAGGGAAAATTCAAATTAGAGTAATATATTTTGCGCAATCAATATACAAAATAAATTGCTTCAGCATGTATCAGAAAAGTATAATTTCTGACTAGGGTAAGAAATTGAAAAGTAATTTAGATATCGCTTCTTGTCATTCGCTTTCTTTGACGAAATAATCGTTGCAAAACATTTCATGCAACATCAAAGGAAGTCCATATTTCCTTTCCTTAGCGTGCACGTGGATCTGTAATTTGCAAGTCAATTCGCTTTAATTTTCGTTTAAAAATTCCTTTGGAGGGATAACTTGACCCCATGATCTTTGATCGAGCTCGATATGCCCGTATACAAGCACGTATGCGGCTGTATTGTGGTGGGTGTGCGGGGAAGCTGGTGTGCGACGCGCGTCTTTTCGCGAATTGGCGAGAAGAAGTCCTGCCGAAGAAGGATATGCGTTTGCGCAGGACTCTCGCCGATGGAATTTTGCGCCCTGGAAGCCCCCGACATATATCCGCGGTGGATGGCAAACTGCCCCGGATTGTTCAGTTCAGTTCAGTCGTCATCCGATCCGACGACGTAAGCTCGAGTCGGCGTGTGCATCCCCGATTCTATCACGCCGTATCATCACGTCACCGTTGCCAGCAACAGGTAGGAGAAATACAAAAGGCGTTTGTCCGGGGCAGCCGCGAATTTTGCGAAATTGAAATTACCCAGTGCCGCGCGAAAGTGACAGTCGCGAAATTGCAACTCGCCTTAAATACGTTGTGCAAAGGTATCAATCGAATTGTCTTCCGTCTGAGATTAATAGGTCAATTATCACTATGATATGTGCGAATGTGTAAAATTCGGGGGTGTCAAGCTAACTTCTTCATATAGGGTCGCTTAAGTGATCAAACAAGGTTCAAAGTAGATCAAATTCGGCATTTTAAATCTATAAATTCGTTTGCGATAAAAGGTTCTATTTTATAAGGAGAATAAGAATCGCGTAAAAGTATATTGGGTATAAGGTGTAAGTAAAGAGTGCCGTGAAAATCATGGTGTGATTAATTAATTTACAAATGCTTATTTGTAAGAAAGTATTTTAACAATAAAATATTTATGCATCAGCCGCAAAGGAAAATTCATGTTTGTGAAAAATATAACGCCATAGGGAACAGCATAGAATTGTTAAAATATGTTTATATATAATTACTTGTAAAAACAAGTTTATGGAACAAATGTTAAAATAAACATCAAGATGTAATCGATATCGCCGCAGAGCAAGTTATAACGCAATGTTATCTTTTGTCTGCAACGATGTTGTTGTTAGAGACAAATCAATCACTTAATAAAAAAATTATAAGCGTACAAAATTTTAATTTTAATAAATTTGAGAGATATTTGAGAAAAATATGAGAGATATACAAAGTATGACAAATGTATGAAGATTTAGGGAAACATGACTTGACAAATAATTGAAACGGATAAGAGAATAAACATAAACGTAATTTATTATTATAAATATATTATTTTAAATTCATTAAAGACCGATGAAAAATCGGACGCAATATTTGCAGTTAAAGGGAAGAAATCAATAAAAAAATCATCGTAAAGATTTGCGACAGAATATTAGAATATTATATCGATAAGCATGTCAAAAAGAAACGAGAATATTTAAAGAAAATATCTCAAAAAAATATGAAATGTATTTATATATGGTTTCGCGAGAAGCAGGAATTTTTATATCGTCAATCTTCAATTCAGCGAAGGTAACCGAACTTGTAATAAGGTACCATGGACATCGAAGAATTCCGCGCACGCGGCAAGGAGATGGTGGACTACATCTGTGAGTTCATGAGCAATATCCATACCAGGAGAGTCACACCGGATGTCGGTCCTGGCTACCTCAGGCCTCTGCTGCCATCGGGACCGCCGAATGATCCGGAATCTTGGGATGAGATCATGAAGGACGTGGAATCGAAGATTATGCCGGGCGTGAGTGTTTGCGAGATTGCGAGATAATGTCAGAAATGTTTGGTGAATTATTGCGATGCTCCGCGTCTCGATTAAAATCTCTTACAAAACCGAATTAAACGATTTCTTTTTATATTATCAATTCTATATCAAATTTTGTTAAATAATTGAAATTGAAATTAGATAATTACTCTTTTCATATTAAAAAATATTTCAAAATAGCGTGAGAGGAGTTGTATCGGCTGTGAAGAAAAGTGGCTTCTACCAGCCAGATGAACCTTCTTCCAGATCACGCATTGGCAGCATCCAAGGTTCCACGCCTACTTCCCGGCCGGAAATTCCTTTCCCTCTATTCTTGGTGATATGTTATCTGATGCGATAGGCTGCATTGGATTTTCTTGGGTGAGTGAAAAATCTTCTCAGGCAGTCTAAGAAGCTATAAGTGAGTACTATGTAAAAAAAACTATAATTAGAGAAATCGCAGTTTAACGCGACGATAGAATGGCGCTTCGAAGGCACCTCGATTTTTCCCACCGACATCGGAAACGGCCATAATTTTGATCCCATGTCAAATCCGCCTGACGGATGATCGCGTGCAATTATTTACTTGATCGCCCCCAAAATGGAATCTTATTTGTTTTAGGCGGCCAGTCCCGCTTGCACAGAACTGGAAACGATAGTCTGCGATTGGTTCGGTAATTCCGTTATATTTCATCAGAATGATTGAATTTTGCGAACGATTGATTTACAGAGTGATGCGTCATTTTTCTGAATTATAGGCAAGGCGATCGGACTGCCTACGGATTTCTTATACTTTAGCGAAGGCAGCAAGGGCGGAGGTGTTATAGAGGTTTGAAAGATTATACGAATATTTAAAATGATAATATAAATCATCCCAAACCATCATCTCTACATCCACATCCACACCTCCAATTTCAATTTTTGGAAATAGGCATTTTAATTTTCTATATAATTGATAGAATTCTAGTGACATGTTCGAAAAAAAGTTAACACCCACACAATTCTTTTTAAAATATATCAAGAATTGATCTTTCTCGTTGCATTATGCACGAAAGAGTTACAATAAGATCATTGGAAAGTGTATATTTAAATATATGAATATTTTATATTTTTTATCAAAACATATTAGAATAAAATATATAATATCTCACAAAATATTTACTTTCCGATTATCTCACTTAAATATTTTTACATGCAAAATGACGTAGATAAGAAGAATTAATCCATGTAAAAAAAAAGAACATACGGTTTTACTTACAAAAAAAAAAGAAAGAAACAAGGAGAGGTTGCTCCTCTGTCGTTCTGCACGGGTTCGACAACGGCACCATACTTGTTCCGTAAAGAGTCACAAGGAAATTTAAAACGAACAAGACTTTTGTCACTATCTTTAATAGTTCCCAAGAGAAGAGCTTGTAACACTTTATGTGTGGACCACCCTGTACGTAGGGTTCAGCATCGGAATGCATTCTCGTGTGCATGCTGGCTGCTCGGGCACAAGCAATTGCGAGGCTCAAGGAATCTCCTGCATATGCACACTTGGACGAGACCGCGCTGCTCGGCAAGCTGATGGCATATTGCAGCCGGGAAAGTCATAGCTCCGTCGAGAAGGACGCAATGATATGCTTCGTAAAGCTGCGTATTCTCCAGCCCGACGAGAAGAGCGTACTTCGCGGGGAGACCTTGCGACAGGTGCGTTTTAAACATTATTACTGCAAGTTACACGAGTGTTCCGAAGACTCACACTCATCCACCTAAATTAATTCAAATTAATATCGTTCATATACACGATTATGTATCTTTCTCTCTATATTAAAAATTAACGTAATCAAATTATATACGTAATACTTAATCATGCTAAAATTGCAAGATAAAAAATGTATAAATTTCTAATATCATCAAATACCTTCATTACTTTTTCGTTCGTTTCTTGTTATAATATATTGGTTTCAATATTGGTAATTTAAATAATTGATAGGCGATCGAGAGTGACACAGCTGCAGGCTATGTTCCCTTTTTCGTCTCGACGACTCTCGGCACAACCGCCTGCTGTTCGTTCGATAATCTTAAGGAAATAGGGCCGGTTTGTAAAAAATATCCAGGGGTGAGTGTAAAGATACGTGGTACACTTGAAAGAGGTTTTATTATTGACCGTATAATTTTCCTTTTTAACCGGAATATTTTTCACGCGCGCAGATCTGGCTACACGTGGATGCTGCTTATGCCGGAAACGCTTTCATCTGTCCAGAATTGAAATACCTGATGACCGGCGTTGAATACGCCGACTCCTTCAACACTAACACCAACAAATTCTTACTGACAAATTTCGATTGCTCCTGCCTCTGGGTTCGCGACCGATTTAAGCTTACCAGCGCACTCGTCGTGGATCCGCTGTATCTGCAGCATACACACGCGGACACGGCTATAGATTACCGGTTATATTAGTCAATCCATTTAACAGAAGTATTTTAACTTTAAGTTTTTGGAAAAGCTATCTTTTACTTTGTTGTAAATGTTTATTCTATTCTGTCCGTCAACTTTCAATATATGTTATAGCATTTAGATATTATTTAATTTTGATTATAATTAATGTATTGGCGAAGATTTTGGTTCATAGAGAAAATGCATAAAATAAGAAAAACAAGACTGACGTTTTATACAGTAGTTGAACGTTATAAGCAATCAAGTGTCTTTTATAGGCATTGGAGTATAGCGTTGAGCAGGCGTTTCCGTTCATTAAAGCTTTGGTTCGTAATGAGGAGTTACGGGATATCCGGGCTGCAAGCCTACATCCGAAATCACGTCAAACTCGCTAAAAGATTCGAGGCATGCGTTAACAAGGATTCTAGATTCGAAGTTTGCAATGACGTTGTGGTAAGAGAATTTCTCCTGTATATTTAAGGATTTAACCATATCGTTCGTATCATCATTTATTTACTGCGCGGTTCATTACAGCTGGGCTTGGTGTGCTTTCGCGCTATAGGCAGCGATGAATTAAATCAGAAACTATTGAGCACTATCAACGACTCAGGAAAGATACACATGATCCCGGCGCGAGTGAATCAGCGTTATACAATACGTTTCGCGCTCGCTGCACCTAATGCAACTGCCAGAGATGTTGGTAAATTATTTTTATAATTTTAATTTTATAAAGAGATTTATCTCAACTTTTGGTTAGGATAATATCAAATTTTTAACTTTCTCAATATGACGAAAGTTCTTTTTTGAAAATTGAGAGTTTTGTGATAAATTATCATAGTTCAGATCATCGATTCTATCTATAAGTATCATGCACAAAATATTAGATGATTGTAATGTAAATATATTATATTTTTACATATTTTGTGAGAAATAATTCTATGATGTTTAAGACATGGCGTGGAACATTATAACGAACTACCTAAGCGAATTATTAGAATCCAATGTAAGTTGGATCACAATTACTTTAATATATTAGGAAACGAGAATTGTTGTGTATATTATCAATATATATTTTTGCACATCAGGACGTAATGGATGAGCTAGCGGACATTCTCGAGAAGAAGAGAAAGGCCACCTTGGCGCAAAGGAGATCTTTCTTCGTGCGCATGGTGTCTGATCCTGCGATTCAGCCAGGATTCACAAAGACTCCGAACAGGACGGGCGCCAAGCTCGACACGCAGGCAACGATCGGCGGTATCGGATCAACTCAATCCGGAGCGTAAGATGAAATCTTAAATATCATAGATCATATCCATGGTATCTTAATTTGTTAGCATTAAACTCTGTGTAATTAGAGAATAAATATATACAATTTCCTTTACTTAGGAAATCCTGGATATCCTGGCCACTTGCTTATTTCATGCGGCCGAAAGAAGCTGCTGATACAAGTGAATTATCGTTCAGGTACTTGTCTATTTTTTCCGACTTGAAAATTTATTATAATTTATGTTATATAAGATGATTTCACAATATCTTAAAAAATTATCCTTGTTTCTAACGAGAAACCTTGATCATACATCAACAAAATCGTAAACATTCTTTTTTTCTAATATTTTTTTATAGAGATACAATTCGCACAATTTCTTATTTTAATGTTTAGTTTCAGATTAATTCCGAGTTGACTTCTTCGTAAAAAAAGTGTTTGAAAGTAACGAGCTTCCGTCATAGTCTTATTTTAGTCGGATATCATATTAAAATTTATTTTTTTAGTTGCATTAAAAATTTTTTCTCGGAACATTGCGCTATTATACAGACGGCAACGCAATGCAATGTAATGCTCCACGCTTGGTGTAAAGTAGCACCGCACGATATCTGCCGCTATTATATACAAGGACAAATAGTGTCTTTCCTTTTATCGTCGCCGTTATATCGACCGCAGTATAATGACATTTGACTCCATTGAATGTACAAGTTCATTTCAGAATGATCCAAATCAAAGTGCACTGGGATAACGAAACGTGCTGTTATCTGTTACCTTTGCGTCCGGTCAACTTTTCTCCCCCGTCAATGACAAAGATAAAAATTTTACTGTGCAAAAATATTTTATTGATATTTTATTATGCTGCTTAAGAAAAAATGCACAAGAACGAATAATCGTTTCTTATAGTTTTTGGACACTATGTGTTATGTGTGCGTGCATTTCTATAATTATATATGTATGAGGCATGCATTTGTTTCCGTATGAATTGCAGATTGCAAACGTGGATCCCCGCAATCTGTCAATTTTGCAATCTTTAGTGATTGCAAACCACTTTCCAATTCAAAATGTGTTATTATGGAGATGTATGTATGTAAGTTAAGTTTTTTGTATATTCAATTTTTTTTATACATGTCGTAAACAACTTTTCTAAAGTGCTCGTCCGCTTGATTTATGATTATAGTGACGTAAGGTGCTTCTTTTTCAAATTCCAGTAAAAGTCGGAAAACATGATTTTCATCGATTTTTATATATCACACTGTGACTGTATCTTTATTTATATTTCATGTCTCATTCTTATGTTACTTATTTTTATATTCTCCAAAATGATACGAATATATAAAAATTCTCAAACTTGTTCTGTTACCTAATGCGGTAAATTATACATGGTAAAAAGTCAAAGGAGAAATATTTCTTCACGTATATAAAGCTTATCAATTTTGCTTCGGTCGATTCATGAATAATGTAAAAAAAGACTTTTGCTTCTAATATAATATGCAATACATGTTTATGTAAGTACCTTAATGGCTCAACTTATGATAATATAACCGATCATCATTTACTATATAAAAGTAAATCAAGCAGACGAACATTTTAGAAAAATTTTTTACGATAAACATAAAAAATTAAAAATACGCAAAAAACCTAACTTATATACATACATCTCCATAAAAATACAACATTTTGAATTAGAAAGTGGTTTGCACTCACTAAATATTGCAAAATTGGACGGATTGCAGGGCCCACATTTCTAATCTGCAATTTATACAAAAATACATGTGTGTTACAGATGTATTCACACTTGTATAAGCATAGAAATGCGCGTTATTTATCTTCCTAAGAAAATTATCCTCTTGTTCTGCTTAAAAAATAAATATATATATTTTTTGAACAGCGTTATTGTTGCAAACATTATTTAATATCTTAGTTTCCCTTTCTCTGTACATATCAAATTTTTTGTTTCAACGCACAGATTCCGCAACTTGGATACCATGGTGCGCTTGAACACCGGAAGTCGCCGCGGTAGCAGTAACGGATGCAGCCCGGATCCGTCCCCGTCTGCTTCGCCCTCGCGAGGCAGATCGCCCAACGGCCGCGCGTAATCGCATTACATCGATCTTTCCTTTCTTCGTGCAATCTTTCCGAGGAGTCCTCCAAGCGTATAACAATCGCAACGGATGGCTCTTAATTTGTGCTCCAAAACGTGCCCCGTTGTGTGCTCCAAGAAGACGGAGAAAAAATCAGCTAGTTACAAGTTTACATCGGGAACTGATACTGCCGACAATCTCGATATTAAAGCCCACCTTAGACCACGTATATAATTTGGAACAGAGAGAAATAATTCTGTATATTTGTAAATCTAATATGTCTGATATAATTTCACGTGTCAAATTGCAAATATAATTATAGATAAGAGAAAAAATCTCATGTCAAATCTCGAATTATAATTATATAAAGGTACATTGCTTGAACTTTGCAAAAATTGTTTAGGTCTTTATGTCATATCATCATATTACATATTTTCGGCGTCAAAATATTGCTGTCGCAAAACAATTAAACCTTTAAGTCGTGAATTATGATTATTAAGTCTGTCACACACCAGTTTTACTTATATATATATCTTAACATGCTCCAATTTTATTAGCAACCCAGGTAGCACATATACTCGTTTCAGAAATGTTTATTACCGATTTCTAGAAACGTTTCTCATGAGTAAAAATGTCCATTCGAAAAACGTACGATGGAACGTTTTTTTCCGATAAAATAACATTTAAAAAACTATTATAGAAACGTTTTATTTTAATGCATAAAACTTGTAGAACATTCTCACGTGTGTCTCAAAGACGTCATAAACACGTTCAAAAGACGTGAAAAGTAGAAATTTTAAATGTTTTTATCTAACAATGCATGTCTTTATCATTAAAACAAAATGTTTCTGTAATAATTTTTAAACGTTATTATATCGGAAAAGAAACGTTCCATCGAACGTTTTTCGAATGGGCATTTTTACTCATGAGAAACGTTTCTAGAAATCGGTTATAAAACATTTCTGAAACGTGTACGTGCTACCTGGGTATATGTCTATCATGGTCTCTGTATTATGAGATGTACAGAATAATATACGTATATAGAATTTTGCTCCGTAGATTCTGTCACGAATTACAGACTGTCTAAAATGGGCTTGAACGGAGAACAAACTTTGCATTAAATTGCTCACCAAGGGATAGAATCAATGAGATGTCGCCGAAATTGCCCCGTGGTATGTTTCACTCGATAAGAAATTAAATACGTTTCAGTCTCAACTGTGCGTCTCGTTTTCTTAAACATTCCCGAACCACGAAAGTTTCAAAAAACTTTTGAAGAATTTAGAGAAAAATCCTGAGAATTCTTGAATGTTTTAGGACTGAATTTCCCGATGCATAAAAAAGAAGGAACCCCTTTTTGGTTTTAAATTCAAGATTTGGATAAAAATATAGTAAAAAGACGTAATACGCCATGTTATATATATCACATATTATATTATTTTATATCTTTATATAAAATTAACAATCATTCCGATCAACGGGAAAATTAAAAAAAAAAATTTGTTTTATGACATCGCAAGAGCAAATATAATTAACTGTTATCGGTATTATTACCGACAACAAGATAATTGACTGCATCGTTGCATCATATTTAAGTAACAACCGGTAGGTCATAATCAAACTACGCTATGTGTAAAACTACAAGATAGGTACATACGTACATACAGTTGGAAAAGTTGAAGTTACGTAACATGCAATCTACTCTGCAATCAATTATTCAACTGTTCTCTTTGTCTGCATACACGTCTAATAAGTTTCAAATTTTCATTTGTATCGTGGGCGAAACATGATATTCCGCGGACAGGTCCGCGACATCCCGTGCACAACTGACGGCATTGAATTAGCTAATTTCGTTGAAGTCGCTATTATAACACAAGTGACGCACGCAAAAAGAATTGTCGCCGATCAGTACGAGCTTTAATTACTTCTCACGCGTTCGCGAGCACCGAAACTCATGATCCCGAACCGGGATTCAATTCGGAAAACGGCGGACGCGGGTAGATCATGCGTGAAGGTGGCGATGAGAAAACGAGTAGCGATCTGCATGTGTGTATGTATTACGAAGATTGAGCGGTGACCTGTCACCGCTTCCACGGGGTGTGTTGTAAATGTAGGTGAAGAGTAAATGTCTATTTATAAAACGGTGGATAGACGATGGGGGAGAGGAGTACGGCGGAGAAGAATTTACCCCCGTGCGCAGAACACGGCACACTGTATGGGACGTTTATTCAAACAGCGACCCCGCTATAGCGCCATTGATGCTGGTCTGCAGCATCGGCTTTCGAATTTTCGCATTGAAAGCATCGATTAAAGAAACCTCAGGGAAAAAAATCGATCTTAGAATAGGGGTTTAGTGGAAACGCTGGGACTATTGCCAAAAATCGTTTGAATTTCAATATTCCTATAGCTAATTTAAAAAAAAAATGCATTTGTTTCGTTACTAATACGTCAAATGTGCAAACAAAATTTTTATAAATCACTAATAGTGAAAACGCATGAATAAGAAAAATAACTACAATTCTTATTGACAATATAAAGTACGATATTAAAATTATTTAAAAAGGTCCGTTCAAGAAGCAAAACGGTTTGCGCAATATAATAACGCGCAATGTATAATGCATTACTGTATATAAAAAAATTAAATATCTTGCAAGACGTTAAGTCAAACTATTAATAATGTATAACATGCTTTAATGTTAGTTACTATCTTCCATGTAGTTTGCATTTATAACGCGGAATCGCCAATATTCCAACGTGCAGAAAAGTTGATTGATACTCAGGCGTTAAATTTATTTATTATCAATTTCAAGTATATGCTTGAAGTGTGCTTTCACATTGATAGATCGGCGTAAATTCATACGGGTCCAGCTGTCGAGATCAGATTATCGAGAGATCATCGCGATGATCTAGAATGCGTCGTAGGACTGCATCGGGATCGAAGAATTCCCTCTCTCTCGTAATCGATCTTTATTTGTTAGGAAAATTAATTTCATTACGCTTTCTCCCCGGTTTCCTGTCTCTCTCTCTCTCTCTCTCTCTCTCTCTCTCTCTCCACCTTAATTTTATCTGCGTGATAGCAGGGGCGTACGGAGCCGAGGCGCGCATAAAACTGACCGGCGCTTCGGCAGGTGCTACTAGTCTCTCGTCTGACGTGGCTCGCGGCAAATGTTCGATACGTGCGAGGGAAAATCGCGCGGCGCTCGAGTTACGAGAATACGCGAGGAGCAGTACGCGCGATCGAGGGGGCCGATTTTCCGCCAAAGTGGAGCGGCTTTTCGAGCGGTAGCGGAAACGAAACGTGAGTGGAACAGACGGGTTTATACACCGTCGAAACTTCTCTACGTCGCGCCATTCGCGCCACTCGTTCGCCTCGGAGTTGCGCCCCTTTCAAAGTCGCACTTAAAAAATCCGCATACGCTCACGTAAGATGATTCGGCGTAGAGAGCCGATTTTCCGTCGAAGCGTAGCGATTTTTCGAGTGGTAGCAGAAAAGAAACGTGAGCGTACCGGCAAGCTTTGTCCAAGTTCTCCGATAGCTTCGTTCGCCACTTATCCTGCTTTTCTTAAAAAATTCTTATAAAATTGCGCCTCAAAATCTGTACATGGTTTGTACTTCGTTTAAAACATAAAGTTTTATTTATAAAAAAAAAGGAATAAGAAATACGATCAATTAAAAACTACGATTACAGAATTTATGTTCTGAAGCCAAAAATATCATGGTTCAGGCACTGTGAAGTTTAAATTTCCGTTAAGCGTCATAAATACAAATTTAACCGAACCCGTGTGATTTTGTTTGTCCAAACTCGCGTCGCCGTAATATTTATCATGTGGCACCTCGTGTGTAATTAATTTAACACACGAGCGTCCCACGACGTTACTTTTATAATATTTTTGCGGATTATTATTAGACGTCCATCGATATCACATTTCCTTTTGCTCGAAAGAATTAATACGCCGCGAAGAAGCGCGGAAGAATTGATCCTTTTCTAAAGCAAATATAGGAGGATAACGGCGGGAGGCGCATCGGCGCGCCGATGTACATTTTTAAAGAAAAACAGAAAGTCACGAACGCGTGTGCGACGCGGTATACGTCGCGCGTTCGTGCCTAATCAGGCGGGTGTTTTGCACGCTCTGACGCTTCCTCGCGAAAATCGCTGCATTCCAGCCCGGGGTACTCTGGCATCATGAACATCGATGAATTTCGCGTGCGCGGCAAGGAGATGATCGAGTACATATGCGACTACATCCGCACGCTGGAGGGCAAGAGGGTGACGGCAAACGTCGATCCCGGCTACCTGAGACCCCTGCTGCCGAAGGAGGCACCCCTCAAGCCGGAATCATGGGACGCCATCATGAGGGACGTCGATGGCAAAATAATGCCCGGAGTGAGTTTGCGGTCGTAACGGGTTGCCGTGATTATCGATCCCCCTTCTCCCTCTCTCCCCCCTCTCTCTCTCTCTTGCCATTGATTTCAACCCCCCTTTTCCGATATAAATAATGTTCGTGCACGTGAAAGAGAGAAAAAAAAAGAATTGATAAAAACTTTCCTTCTTCTTTCTCTCTCTTTTTCTTGGCGATGTAAAAAAACGTACTAAATAATAACGTAACATTCGGTAGATAGATCGCGATGCTTTTTGCGATGCAGCAGGTTTTTCCGGACGCGATCTTTGCGGGAACTTGAGGAAAAGTTAAGGTCGGCCCGTGACGTAAAATGTTTGTGATGTAACGCGTGTTACGTAAATCTTGTAAGAGAACAATATTTTCAATAATAAAAGTATCTTAGTAAATTAATGACGTCACTAGGATACTTTCTGAATATTCGTGGCATTTAACGTTTTCATTATTTGAAATATGACAGTAATATCTAATTAAAAAGAAATTTATCAAATGGAAATTTGTTACTGGAGATCTCGTCTTACTTTTAACGATACGAGAATTAATATAGTCTAGAAAAATGTGAAAATTAAGGCAATCTCGTAAAATAAGATTGCCCAATATGATAGAAAATGTTTAAAAATAATTTTAATCGAGCGATCGGTCGGTTGAACAATACAAGGACGGTGACCACGTCACAACATTCCGATCTCCGTTTCCGACGGAGATAACGGCTCGGAGAATGACGGCGTCGCGACGCGACGCGCGCGCGACTTTTTCCACAAACGCGTGCGAAGTTCGTTCTTAATCCAATGCAATGTTATCGCGGTGACAATGAAAGTCGCCGTTGTCAACGCCGGCATTTCCGCTGTCCATTCCGTTGTCCCATTCCATTAAATCCCGCGGATAAATCAATTTCAGAACATAAAAGTAGGTTACTCGACTCGCGGCTGTACGCGGGGGACAATGCTTTTTACAGATCACTCACTGGCAGCATCCGCGATTCCACGCCTACTTCCCGTCCGGCAACTCGTTCCCCTCGATCCTGGGTGATCTGCTGTCGGACGCGATCGGCTGCATCGGTTTCTCGTGGGCAGCCAGCCCGGCCTGCACCGAGCTCGAGACCATCGTGCTGGACTGGTACGCCAAGGCGATCGACCTGCCGACTGAGTTTCTGTCGGAGCAGAAGAGCGGCGGCGGCGGCGTGATCCAGGGCTCGGCCTCCGAGTGTATTCTGGTGACGATGCTGGCCGCGCGTACCCAAGCGATCAAGATGCTGAAGGAGCAGGAACCCAATAAGGAGGACTCGGCGTTCCTGCCGAGATTGGTGGCCTACTGCTCTACGGAGTCGCACTCGTGCGTGGAGAAGGCGGCGATGATAAGCCTGGTGAAGCTCCGGGTACTCGAGCCGGACGAGAAGGCCTCGTTGCGCGGCAAAAGACTCGAGTCCGCCATTAGGGAGGACGTGGCGAATGGCCTGGTGCCGTTCTACGTGTCCGCCACTCTGGGCACCACCGGCTCCTGCGCCTTCGACAATCTCGTGGAGATCGGGCCCGTGTGCAAGTTGTACCCCAACATCTGGCTACACGTGGACGGCGCTTACGCCGGTAACGCATTCATCTGCCCGGAGATGAGGCCGTTCATGGCCGGTATCGAACACGCCGAATCCTTCAACACGAATCCCAACAAGTGGTTGCTGGTGAACTTCGACTGCTCCTGCCTGTGGGTGCGCAATCGGGTGAAGCTTACGTCAGCGTTGGTCGTCGATCCGCTTTACCTTCAACACGCTCGCTCGGGCGAGTCGATCGACTATCGTCACTGGGGTATCCCGCTCAGCAGACGATTTCGAGCGTTGAAGCTCTGGTTCGTTATGAGATCGTACGGGATCAGCGGCTTGCAAAAGTACATTAGGAATCATATAAGGCTGGCTAAGAGGTTCGAGACGCACATGAAGAAGGACAGGCGTTTCGAGATCTTGAACGACGTACGGGTGGGCCTGGTGTGCTTTCGGCTGAAGGAGAGCGAGGAGATGAATCAGGAATTACTGGCTAACATTAACGCGTCTGGTCGGCTGCACATGATACCGGCCCGGGTGATGGGCAAGTACATCCTGCGTTTCTGCGTGACGAAGGAGGACGCGACCGAGGAGGATATCGATTACGCTCTCAGCGTGATCGAGGAGCACGCCACGGAGGTGATGTTGGCCCACTACGAGGGCACGGAGGACGAGTACAGGGCGAAGGGCCCGAAGAGCCCGGCCGCTCTCGACAAGAAACTCGTCCGGAAGTTCAGCTTCACCAGGAGCGTCACCAGAGACGCTTACAAGAGATCTATCTCCAAATCTAGCCTGCACGACGGCGCGACGCCTATCATGGTCGTCGACGATAACTCGCAGGTCGACGCCATCGACGACGACCGTTTCTGCAACAGCAGGTAGATCTTTGAGCCCCTGGACCAATCCAAAGCTCGTACTTTCGTGAGAGTCATCGTAGTTAAATTCGTAGTGTCAAATTATACTCAATTTGACACACATGGTAGTTGAAAGTTATTTAACTTAAGGTATTGGTTTAAATTTCATTTTTTTTATATTTAACAGTGGTCAGTAATATCGAAGATATGATTTTATTTCCCATTTTAATTTTGTTTTCTATTTTATGTTTAATAAATCCTATTATTTTCGTTTTCCCCTTTTAAATATGACGGAATAATGTAAAATTTCTTTTTTTTCCTTTGATTCGAAAACTTCAGAAGCTCTAGGTCAGGTTTCTTTCGCTATTACAAGCTTGTTAACAATAATTATCAATGAATTATTGATTTCAGATCGTGACGATGTCGATGACGGTCCCCGGCGCCGCCGACTCGGGACGACGTAGACGGTAATAAAAAGGGTCCTCGCTACACGGCCGTGTGATGCGGAACTCTGACGGCCCACCGTCGTCAATTTACTGATTCCCGAAGTCGCGTTTGTTGATAAGGACCGACTATCACCGATTACATCGCCACGTAAGTGTTTAGCCAAATTATTCGTCTCCGATCAAGTTCGCTGAATGCCAAGATCGCTCGTTTATGGACGACTGATCAGCGATCGGTCGTTATCTCGAGCACGAGTGATTCTTCGTGGCGACAAATCGCGTCAATGTACATGAGATATCGAGCCGAGTTTTGCGATAGAGCGTGAGATTCTTAAGCACATTTTAGACAGTTCGTAATTCGCGATAGAATTCGGCTTAAACAACTTAATTACGAACGCACATGTATAATGCAAAAATATTCGATTAGTATAAGCCTTTTTTTATTACGATCGAGTTTTTATAAGGATGAAGATTTTTATTAAAATTATAGATAGAATTTTGCCGCACACAGAAATTCTGTTCCGAATTACGGTCGGTCTAAAGTGGGTTTTAGAGGCGGCTGCGCGTATAGTTAACGTAGTCGTTTGATCTATTTTGGTATATACATATATATATTGTATATGTCTGTATAAGCGATAGAGCGAGATGAATCGATGTACATATGTAATACGTGATAATGACTGCCGATGCACGCACGGACTCTAATAGTTTTATATAAAATGCTAGTGAATAATTAAAGTGTATCGATCTCAATAGATTTACAAGTGAATAGCAAACGATTATACCGATCCCAGTGTATACCGGATATATCAGAATTCTATTTTTTTTTCGCTAATACTAGAACAGAAATTGCGAAGAGAGTCAAATATCTTCTAAATGTAATGTAATTGACGTGAATACATCCATTACATTATATTTAGGAGGTATTAAAGTTTAGATACGCGATATACAAAATTTCGATCGAATTCAATTAGAAATAAATTTATAAGTTAATGAAGACATATTGTTTAATATAGTGTCGTTGCTGATTAAAAATTAACACGTTATAATAACGTGATATCCGATAATCCATAAGAAAAAAAACATCCAAAATTGTAAAACAATTTATAACTGGAAAAGTCTACAGTATCTTGGAGACACTATATAGTGAAGTAAAATGTATTAGAATTTCAGACACGCATGGATATAGTGGACGTCATTAATTCGTATAATTGAGCGGACAATTGTATAATCGACGTCGCATCGACCAATAAAAATAGATTTTAATTTAGTTATAGAAGGTAATCCTAACGATAAGAAAATCATGAAATAGTACATGGAAAAAACAAGCATGTTTGCAAACTTAAAGAACTTCAGATTTAGATTGATAAATTTACGGGTCGATGCTAATACGAATATATCGATGTACGTGTACGTTTGTCTTTGATAACTTGCTCCGATTTATAATTATTATTAAATCAACTTCAATACGTACAAAGGTAATACAGGAGAATTACCCGATTATATTAGAATTTCACAAACATGATAGATAAAATGATTATGAAGTATTTATTTCATATGTACAGATGTTATAATAAAATTAAAGTTCGTAAGATAACTGAATTTTCTTTCATCCCCAATGTCGTTTAATTTTAATTATAATCATTTGTCTTTTTAATAAAATTCCTTTTTAACAACCAAATGAACTTGTTAATTAAGTTGTTAGAGATTAAATCCACTTTAAATTATTAATAATGTGTTCAGAAAACTACTTATAATTTTATTTATCATAGATATTTATTTTATATATATGTTCTAATATTTTAAATATTTTTTGTATTGTATACAATGTATACGTGTGGAAACTATAGAATTCTATTCTAAATTTTAGTACAAATTATAAATCATAAAATAAGTTTCGTTTTACTATTGCTTGTTATGCAATTTGTATTAAATTAAAATTCGAATCATACGAAAGTGCTATATAAAGATTATTAAAATCGTAAAAGTTCTTTATTTTTACATAAATCTCAAGTAACAGCAATTTATGTATATTGCAAAAATTATGCTTTCATTCTATTTTGTTGAAAAAGATATATGCAGATATAATTACATTATAACCATCAAATTATTATATCAGTTCATATACAGATCTAAATAAATAGTTATCACTACATCTGTCCACATTGAGATATCGTCACAGGAATCTTTGGCTTATTGTTCGGTCCAGTAGGAACATTCTCCACTTTCCTCATAACGAGAAGACCATCGATAACTCTACCAAAGACAACGTGTTTGCCGTCCAAGAAATTACACTTGGCGCACGTGATGAAGAACTGACAGCCGTTGGTATCCTTGCCGCTGTTCGCCATCGACAGCAGACCAGGAGAGTCATGCTTCAGAGTGAAGTTCTCATCTGGGAACGTTCCACCGCTGTAGATACTCAACACCCCGGTGCCGTCGCCGTTGACAAAATCACCGCCTTGTATCATAAAGTCCTTGATCACTCTATGAAAAATGGCACCTTTGAAGCCCAGCGGCACGCCATCCTTCCTGTATTCCCCGGTGCAAAACTGCCGGAAGTTCTCCGACGTTTTCGGGCAGACATCCTCGAACAGCTCAAAGATCATGCGACCTATCTCCGTGGTGCCTACAGACACGTCGAAGAACACGACCGGGTTGTTGGGGTTTCTCAGCTGCGCCTGAATCTGATTCCAAGTAGGCATGCTTGCTCAAGATGCTGATCTTATCTTCAGTTATTCAGGATTTTTAATTAGCACCAGGCAGCAATCAGTTAGCCATTCAAACAGCCATCAACAGGTAGTGAAGGATTTCCTGTATAATGATTCTTCTTTTATTTGTTGAATACTGATTATTTGTAGATCTTTAAGCAGTGCTGCACAATCCTTACCTTCAGTTAATTTACTGTGAATACTTATCGCAGAATATCCCAGAAGATTTTAGTCAAATGTGGACGGGAGATGTGCATCAGAGAGAAATATTCTTTCACATCCGTGAAACATCAACACAGACAAACGTAACCTCAATGAGGGATGCTTATAGGTTAAGTTTTCTCCGGAATGGATTTTGCGGCGCACAATTCGCGCAAAATGATCGACGACTAGCGTTTCGAGGTAAAACGGGTAGCAAAAGACGAGCTTCGCGTTACAATTCACGATACTGCAAAAATATCTAAAGGTAAACGCACCTTTCAGCGAGTCTCGAGATACCGCGAGATCGCCGGCACGGAGCGATGAGTAGAGGTTAACGTTTTGCGATACGCCAATTTCTTTGATAATTACAGAAAAGTCACTCGCCGTGTGACACACGTCCCGTATTATTGCGGGACGATCAATAACAATAATAACACGAAGCGGCAGTATAGCGGCACAGATGCTCCGACGCGTTGGACGTAAGGTGGAAAACGTGCGTCGCAGTGGTGCTCATTTCAATTGACTTATCTTACCCTGCTCGGCGACGAATCTCAGCGATGGATTTCGGCGACGACGTAATCGAACGGCGACGCGACACGGTTCTCTCTTCCTCCAAGCGTCCTTGCGGCGATTCAGAATGACAAGTGTTCGACGAGAAACTTAAATATATAGCGACCACCGTCCACGAGAAACTTATGCGCGCTTATGCACTCAATGCACTGTTGCCTGTTGCTCTTTTACCGGTTACCGGCGAGATCACGTGATCGCGCGCGCGACTTTCGTTTCCTGCGACGTATCGCGACATTTTTCAAGAATTCTTAAAACATATAGTCCAGTTTCTTTTAGTCCGCATCTAGATTTTATTTTCCACGTTGCATTATTTTTCGTTATAAATTTTTGGAACTGATTTCAATAGTACATACGTAAAAGAAGCAATCGATCACATGTCCAATGTGCGTCGAGCTAAATAACGTGAAATAATTTTCGCATTTAATCTCAAATCTTGTAATTTCATTAAAATTGATTTTACTTTATTAGTATTGCACGCAGTGGCTGATATACATATATTGATACATTGCATGACTGACAATGAAATGTACAAAAAGATATAATAAACCAAATTGTTGTAAACTATAATAAATCAGATTTCTATTTTGTTTCTCTGTAGCATTTTCTTTCGTTAGAACGTCTTTACATAATTTTTGCGTTTATATCTATTCGTTAGAAACATTCTTAGCATATATATTTTACACACATCTACATGTGTGTGCAAAAAGAAATTGTAATTATTTATTTACCTCCAAGTAAAGGGGAGAAACGCTTTGTTCTAATTCATTAGTAATCACTTCATTGCCTTACAAATATATGGAAATAATGTAATTCCTAAAATGATAAAATCTATTTTACAACTAGTCAATTATTTCAAAAATTTAGCATTTAACTGAAAATACAATCTACATCTCCCCTTTATAAAAAATGTAAACTTTGTATTCGTCGTTAATACGTTTAAATTAAGGGCAAAGATATAAGTATAATTAGAATTTATTATCAATTTAATATAAATATAGTTTAGCAGGATGGCAAAAAGGAAAGAACCAAATATTTCTTACAACCATCTAAAGCTATCTTAACATTCATGATTTTTCGTTCAGTAGTGAAGAAAAGTTAGAATTAATCCCTATGAAATTACAGTAAGCCGTTATATTGCAGAAACAGATTTTGTTTTCTTTATACAAATATATACTTGCATAATAAAACATTTAAAAAGTAATTTCTACTTCATAATTTGCTGAACAATTTCATAGTATATATTCTAAAAAAAAAACAAGTAAACATATGTAGTTAATTCTGAAATTAACTACATATGAAAACACAACACATTTTAATAAATATATGTTTAACTTGCGTAACTAATTAAAATGTGTATTGTAAATTAGGTTTATGTACATTAACTTTATATTAGAGTCAACATCTTGTTTTACTTACATATTTTTCTAGAAATTAGACACTTGTTTAGAATGTTACTTGTGTATACGGATTACAAATAAATCCTGTGCAATTTAAGTCATCTAGTAAAGGATTACTCCATTCATTATGCATGTATTCATTACTTTCTAGTCATATTAATAGCATGTGAAATATCACAAGCAATATGCGAACAACAAAGTGGAAATGATAATTATATGTGTATCTTGATGTGCTCCTTCAACGTAGTTTTGCCATCAAATTTCTCCTCGCAGATACCGCAGACAAAATCATCTGAATCATCTCCATCGTCGCTGTCGTGCTGCTGATACTGTACAATAACATGCGACGTTTCGTCCGACATTAAAGAATCCTGCTCGTCTTGGATATGATTATTTCCCTCCTTCAGGTCTTGTTCAGTCACAACGTTCATAGATATATCCGCACCGCTTATCTGTACGATCTGACTGGAGTAATTCTCGTGACCCTGCGGATTTGGTATCGTTAGAACGGGCAGCGATTCGTTCTGTTTCGAGATGATATTTAGAGTGTTGTCCTGCTTAGGAGACTGAATCAAGTGCATCGTGGACATGTCATCCTGCCTGACTGTTTCATCGAGTGCGTCGTCCACGGATTCTGTGGACACGATGTTCGCCGCGTCGTTTTGTTTGTCTATGGCAATTATATCGAGAGAATCCCTGTGATCTTGTTCCACTCGAAGCACCTGAATATTCTCATCTTCCTTACCATCCACGATAAACCGTATGTTGCTGTGCTTGAGCTCAGATATCGCTATGAAACCGTCGCTACGTTTCTCCGTAGTGACCACGACAAACGCGTTGTTTTGCTTCTCATTTAAAACATGCATCTCGTCCGATTTGTCGGATGGATCTGTGATGGACAATAAGGCTTCGTTTTGCTCCGTCTTCGGAATAAAGTCCAAAACGTTCTGCTTCGTCTGCGCGTTCGTGCCGCCCGATTTCGACGATTTCTTCTTCGTTGGCTTCGACTTCGGCGAGGTGTCGTTGTTAGTTTTCGCTTTTGCCTCGGCTATCATCTGATCCGAATGCTTGACTATGTGCGCGCAGAGCTCGTCGCGATCCTGATTGAGAGCACCGCAAAGCGGACACTGATACGGAGGACTGCTCGCTTCCGTCTCGTTTTTCCCCGCCGCGTGGACCCATCGAACATGCTCGCGCAGGACCACCTTCTGATTAAAAGCCCTCGAGCACAACGGGCACACGTGCGGTCTCTCCCCCGTGTGAATCCGCTCGTGCTTCCTCAAAGTTCCGCCGTCTCGAAACGCTTTCCAACAGAATTTGCAGCCGTACGGACGTTCACCGGTATGCGTACGATTGTGTATTAAGTATCCCTGGCGCGACGAGAACGTTTTCGAGCAGGTGTCGCACTGAAAATGGGCCGGACTACCGGCATGCGTTCTGCTGTGCTCCCAAAGGCCTTGTCGCGAAACGAAGCTCTTTCCGCAGTCGGTGCAAGTAAACGGCGAGTCTCCGGGGTGCGCCGACAATCTGTGCTCATCCAGCTCGTTCTGCTTCTCAAACTGCGAGCCGCAAACCTCGCACGAGTGAGTCTTTTTGCGATGGATCCACTGGTGGCGAAACATCTTCTGCTTCGTGGTAAATTTCTTCCCGCATTCCGAGCAAGCGTGCTTGCCCCATTTATTGTTAGGCATACCTTGCTCGATGTTGTTCTGCATTATTTTCTTGGCGCACGTGATCTGGTGGTTCGCCAAATGATTGCCGTCCTGAAACTGCTTGTCGCAGTACTCGCACTCGATCGGCATATTCCAGGTCTTGGAGGCATGAATCTTCTCGTGAGACGCCAACGCGGTCGCGCGTGAAAAATTGACTCCGCAATGCTTACACGTGTACTGCTTACTGTTGTTTACTTCAGCTTCCCCGTAATCTCTTTTATTCGTACTGTTATATCTGTAAAGCGTCTCGACTTTGACTATTCCGTCGGGAGTGTTGAATGAATTTATCGTTATGTCATACTGTTGACTGTTATTGACCGAATCGCTGATATTATTTTGCTCGGTGTACTCGCTAAATTGCGCCACTTCACCATTGGGCATTACCGTAAACTCTTGCAGCGTATCCATCTTGGCATCCTGGTGATTCGGCATTGTGGTAACTATCGATTGTTCGCTGCTGAAATTGTATGACGAGACCGGCCATTGAACTTGACATACTTCGTAGTTCTGTATAGACTGGACAGACGAAGAAGATGGTATCTGAGAAGCGTTCTGCGAATCAGACGCGTTTTCCGGCCACTTTCTAAATGTCTCCACCGATTGAGACATATTATTACCCTGTGATTGCATGATGGCTCGTCCCGCGACGTACGTGTGTATCTTCATGTGGTTGGACAAGCTGGAAGGCCTCTGGAAGTCGGAGCCACAGATGGTACACTTGTGCGGCCGTTCGACGTGATGCATGTGCGCCTGTAGCATGTGTGCCTGCAAACTGGTCTTGGAACGGAACAAGTTGCCGCACGTTCTACACGCATGAGGACGATCCACTTGATGACAAACCATGTGGTTATTCAAGTCAATCTTTCTCTCAAATCTCTCCCCGCAAGTGGTGCAGGATAATTTAGGCGACGACTGACACACAGACTGATGTTCAACCATATCCTCTTGGGTGAAGAGACGCTTACAGATCGGACAACTGATCTTCTTATCCTCGAAGCATGGATACATACCGCCCAGCTGACGCAGAGCTTCCACAGCCATGGACTCGTCGTCACCCGACGTATACTGCTGCTGTTCCTCTTGCTTGATATACATCGGATATACCACTTGATTGTCATCTTCCTCTTCTGACTGTTCCGCAAGGATCTCGACGGTACCCTGTGACTCCACGATGTCAACAGTGGCAGTGTTACCGACCGTGACCTCCGCAAGGCCTTCCTGGAGAACGCATTCGTTGACAGGCTCGCATACCTCCTCGTGAGATATCATGTTCTCCTCTATGACATCGTGCACCTCGGCGAGGGGAAATGTCACGTACTGCTCCCCCTCGTGGGTCTCCATCTCGTTCGCTACTTAAGTACCGGTATCAACATGTATCAAAGAGATATTGCAAGTATTGTAACGTGCACGGCGATCCTCGAGGGAACCTAGTTTCACCTCAAGTTAGGTCTTCTAGGTTAAGTTGGGTCCTATCATACCTGGTCGTCGCATACCCGTGTTTCCCGTTTTACCAGGTGCCCGTGACACGTCGCGATGATGATCGTGCACGATCTGCAGCCGCTGGATAATATATATTGCCCTTTTTCGTTCCTGTATGGGTACAGGTACCCGACACCGTCCTGCACAGAAAAATACCCAGTTATACATATGAATCATATGATTTACGGGAGCGTAATATTTGCAGCGATTTAAAGATGCGTACGACGCACGGAGGAATTCTCGATAGAATTAGTTAAATCATCCAGGTGATTCTCAATTAACACTATACATCAGCAGCGATACTGCAAGGTTATTTGCAGAGTAGTGCCCCATATCGGGCACTGCCTGAAGTTGCGCGACAGTGAACAGCTCTTCGATAAAGGAGCTCTCGATACTTATAAATAAATAAATACGATAATGCCACTATCCGTCGATTGAAATATCGTTGCGTCTGACTTTTTTTACATTATTTAGCAGAAAGACACGCGGATAATTAAATAATAATAATAATTAAAAAGATTTTTTTCACATATGATTAATTTTTCTTCGTATTTTATTTCTAAACTGTTTTTTTATTATTTAAAGTGAAAATTACTCGAGACGGAGGAATATCTAGAAAAAAAGAGCAATAAAAGAAGTAAATCTGAGCTTTGCACTATTTTCTTAGCTTTGCACTATTTTCTTAGCTTTGCACTTTACATTTTTGCCTTTTTCAAGTGGAAAACAGATACAAGTGTAGAAAGTGCAACTGAAACGATTAGGCCTCTTATCGCAAAGAGCGGCGAACTTCAGTGTTTAGTGTTTACTGATGACACATGTTTCAAAGGTTATATCTATTGCTGACACGAATGATATAACTGTTCGATTAAAATAAATAATTTTGATAATACTGTCTTAACAGCAACCTCTGATTGATCAGAAAACAATTTAACTCATGGATAATAATTAATTAATACAATTAATAAATATATTATTGAACCATTAATTGTCGTTATTCGATCAAAATTCGTATTATTATGAAACGAGAGGAATCTTTAGCTGGATGGAATATTATATGGTGGTTATTTAAGTTATTCGGTCTCCCAATCACTCTTCCTTGGCTCGTGTATCATTTTTATGATATTATGCAGCAAAAACGGAGAAGAGCTGCTCTTGGCAATAAGGTAACATTTTGTGAAGTGTTTCTTTTATAATTTTTATAAATACAAAATATGAGCAAAGTATCTCTCTCAATATCTCTTTTTGTTTAAAGATTTGAATATTTCTATGAATGTATTTTTTTTTGTGATCCATTTTTGATGCATTTTAGGTTGTGATGATAACCGGTGCTAGTTCTGGCTTAGGAGAAGCTTTGGCTCATATATTTTACAGTTCAGGTTGCAGAGTTATCTTGGTATCTCGTAGAAAAGAGGAGTTGGAAAGAGTAAAAAATGATTTAATAAATACTCATCAAGTACGTAGCACGATACCCGAGACCGATACCTATTTTAATAGGCAAATGTATTGGATATCAATTATTCTGTAATTTTCTTTCAGACAGTTCCAACTTATCCACCTATCGTTTTAGCATTAGATTTAACGGATATCAACAACCTGCAAGATGAAGTGTCAAAAGCTATAATGGTACACGGCAGAATTGATGTTTTGATTAATAATGCCGGCATTTCGTATAGGGGAGAAGTTATTGATACGAATGTTGATGTGGACATCAAAGTCATGCTATCGAATTATTTCTCTCAGATTGCATTAAGCAAAAGTAAGTGTATTAATTAAGAGATCTGCTGCAACAGATTCATCATACGTTATTAATTTGCAGTTGTTCTTCCATATATGATAAAGCAACAATCTGGTCATATAATTGGCATAAGTAGTGTGCAAGGGAGAATCGCTATTCCATTTAGGCAAGTATTTGATTATGAGTCAACGTCTATTGTTTTTTTACATGAATTATTGGTTAATTACTGATTTTTAGATCTGCCTATGCTGCGTCTAAACATGCATTGCAAGCTTGGTACGATACTGCCAGAGCAGAACTATCTGACAAGAATATAAAATTTACAGTCATCAATCCAGGGTACATTAAAACAGCTCTTTCTCTTAATGCGTTGACAGGAAATGGACAAGTTTATGGACGTTAGTAATTACATTCTTATTGAAGATCCTAAATTATCTTACTTCTCTATTTATGTGATTTTAATATGCATCATTTTGTTATAGTAATGGATAAAACAACTGAAAGTGGTTATCCACCGAAGTACGTAGCTGAATGCATCTTAAAATCTGTATTGAAGCAAGAAAAGGAAGTTACTATTGCGTCGTTTTCTCCAAAGTGTGCTATAGTGCTTAGAACCTTGTTTCCTTCGCTTTATTTCTGGATTATGCAAAAACGTGCGAGAAAATTAGCACGGGATAAATAATATTATTTGAATTAAATATCATACTGTTTAGTTACACATCAAGTGATTGCTTTGTGTTTGTTGCGGATTTATGTATATATATTTTTTATGTATAAAGTAAAATGTTTTAGAATATAACTATATAATTTAACAGGGTATAAATCTACGTAATTTACGGAAGAATTTACGTAATTTTGTTTAACCAACTTCCGAGTTATTATGTTTTAATACTTATATTTATGTGGCAAGGATAACAGTTAAATAAAATACACTACTCAAAAGTATATTTTATTTGTATTGTAGCCACTCTCTGACTAGTGGAGTATCTTTACATTATGTACACTTTATTATTATGAAATTTTAATTAAAACTGCGCCGAAATGTTTAGATGTTGAGTGTGCTGTCTATCTCTTGATATAAAGTTCATAAAATTAAGAAAAATTTAAATATTTTACATCATGTGATAAAGGTCTAAATTATACATAATCATTTAATAGTTATGTTGTGTAAAACAGTTATGTTTGTAAAACAGTAAGACAATAATTTAAAGACAAAATATTGCATATATATATTCAAATATATTTATGATAAAAATATATAATTTTTTTCACAAGAGTGATAGATAGCACATCTATTTATAGTACTATTCAATGTGTTACTAAAATTATCATTTCTTTTATTTTGTTAACATTTCATTTAATTTTCTCGATTTAAGCGGTACAAACTTACTTAAAATATAACAATTTCAATAAGACCTGAAAAATATGTCTACCATAATAAAATCTGAATTGTCATGATAGATTTAGCCACTCTAATATTATATTCCCGTATATTGATCACATTTTCATATGCCTTTCTAAGTTATATTATTTCTATTCTTCACTTTAATCTAACGAAATAGATTGTGTAAAGAAACACGATAAAAATTCATATAATATAAAATATAATTAAATGTGATATATTAAACGTAACATCGAGCGGTTACATGTTTATATCAATCACTACACAATATTGATGTAATGACCATATAATCGGTTCTGGTATGTAGTTACATTGTACATAAATATAGAATGCAACTACAACACTTGAGGTATACTGAAAAAAATTCAACGTACTTGAAATAAAACTTGACTGCATTTTCTGTTCTAGCAACAGTTAGCTTGTTCTGTGCAGTGGACTTTCTTTTGTAGTATTACATGTAATTCTTTAATCTAATATATTTGGAGAAACGAGTCTTTAATAGAAATATGTTCAGCAAGTTCTCGCGCTTCATGTATAAAATAGAATTTTTTTAGAACGAAATCCAAATGTATGGATTTCCAGATGTTATTTGCTCAAACTTTGTGCTATACTCATTGTATAACGATATAACGATATTTGAAAATATAATAAAGTATATCTGTCATCATCCTATAAGCTTGGTTTGTAATTTCTACAGCATGTTCAGAATTATGTACACTGTTTCACCTTTTGAGCCCCTGTGTCGACGTACATACAAACGAGTGAACATTTCATTCATGTGACCATAAATTTTATACCACGCGAAAAGATTTCACGTAGTATAATGTACAGGATTTTAATTTTTGTTAACGTTAAACATTTATAGGAATGTTTGCGACGCCAACTTCTATCTGACGGGATTGATGCAAATGAGTTTACACGCATTTGTGATGAAAAAAGTATCTTATTCTATATATTTATGATTAATAAAATAAAATCTAAAATTACATTGAGTTTTTATGGTCAGCATATCTTTCTGATATCATACTAGTTTAACATAGATTGTTCTGTTGGGTGAGAAAATCTAGGCAACATACCCTTTGACATGTCATACATATTGTATTCTCTCTTTACCTATTTTATTTACAGTCTAAAAATACATAATGCTAAATCCTTATGTACCATTGTAAATTTAATCATTCTAAGAACACTTATGTCAATATTTCTTTTTCTTCATTATAGAGACTGCACGTATATGGTATTTCCAATTTTACAATAGTTACTTTTGAAAATTTTGTCAAGATTACAAAGAATAACAAATCTCAAATTACATGCCAATGTAAAAACTCGGATAAAATCTGGCTCTTTTGTATTTATGTGTGGCTTAGTCATCACATAAGCAGCATTCACCTGCGAGGTAGTATCAAAAAGTGTTATAAGTCAAAATGAGAGAATACTTTGCGTTACGATATATAACACGGCATGGGAATAAGTTCGTACTTTCCTTTCAGGTTCAAGGAATTTGCTGTAGGCCTACTACTATGAAACTCGACATCATGTGGCCTACCTTATCGTTTCATTCTGGCTTAAGTCAAAACCGGTGCCAGGTAATAAATTTCTTTCACTTGAACGCCTGGTACAGTCTCCAGGCAGTAATGCCGAGGGCTGCCAATGTAATAGTTGTGTGAAGAATTCGTCTCCTACTATCATCTTTCCTTACGAGAAACGTCGGGGACGACGGACCTAGAACAGCTAATAGCTCAACGTGCGGTAATTTGCTGGTATCAGTTTCTACTTGGTACTGGCAGCAGGGATCAAATTGCCAGGAGACCGTATATAATCCGCAGGTTATGACCGACGTAAAACCTAGTGGACCACAGATGTACGGCCGATCGCCCCAGACTAATCCTGAAAGAGACATTGTAAAATATTATCAATCAGCGGTATAATTTGGTGTCACGATGGGGTGGCGTTACATACAAATTGAACAAACCTGTGACGATCGCAGCAAGACCCGACAGCGCGGCAGTCTTGTGAAGACAATTTCCTACCGCTATCCATCTGGAGGTTTCATCACCTAATTTCGACGGTTCGATAACAATTAAACTGCATTCCGATTCTAGTGCTCTCTCTAATTCATACTCAAATGTCTCGTGGGCATTTTCACTGTCGTACACTTCCCTGATGATGGCAACATTAGAGGATTCGTCCCTGCGAGAAGAGGAAATAAATATATAAATTAACACTCTCCTGACGTTGTATTTCGTACGGGATCTAATATCATATACTTGGCAACACAATTACGTTTGCAATATTCACGCAATTCGCACCAGCGCGTGCCAAGGTTATATCTACAAGCGCAAATTCTTTTCAACGTGAAAATCCGTTGGATTCTCCTCGCGCAATGAGGTTAGCCTAGAGTCCGATTATCGTCTCGCGTACGCTACACAATCGCGACGTACGCACCGTAGCAATTAACGCTAGAAATCCTGATTCCTGAAATCTCATTCTCTCTCTCGCGTGTTATGTAAGACATTGATTACAGTCGGTCGGCGCAGGATTTGTTTTGGTCGCGTACCCCACGTCTTTCCCGGCGAGATTAAAGCCGAAGCGGCGCGCTGCGCGACGTGATTCGGCCGCGATTGAATATCACGACGACGAGAGAAGACGCGTATGTATCCGTACGTATATCAAAGAGAAACAATTTGAGAAAGAACGATAGTGAAAGTGACAGGAGCCGACGCGAGCCGCGTCCGACGAATCGCGGAGTCGCGACTAGAGATCTCCTCTCCGTCCCACGCAAAATCGCGTGGTAAATCCTCGTCGCGAATTTCGAGACTCTAACCGTATCCCCGAAGTGTCCGGGGTCACGCGAGGACCCCGGGAGAATTATTAAAGATTAATTCGCCGCGCGCACCGCGACCCCGCGCTAGGCTTTGAGGTTAATTCTAAGAATGGCAATGACGACCGAGGGGGGAATCGCGTCGCCGAGGACGGCGACGCTCCGGCGACGTTCCTCTCGGCGCGAGAGCGCGTCGAAACGGCGCGTGACGGCGCGCGGAACGGATCCGCGTCTACGAACCTGTCACCAGCTTCATCTACCATCTTCACCGTCGATCCCGCAGATACTGAAACGGCGGTCTGCATCGGACCGGAAGGAAAGGCATGACTCGCCGAACCGGACGGCAAAAATCAGCTGACGACGAGCGCGCCGCGCGCGCGACGATGCGCGATCACACGAGCGCGCGGGTGCGCGCGTGACTCCGGTGGTTCTGGAGAATTTTAAATTTTCTGTTGGACACGGCGGTGGCCGTTTTGAACGTTTCCGCGTTCCTTCGTTTCCGGTTTCAAACGCGTCGCAGGAGGCCGAGGGCAAGTACGCGCGAATCGTTTTTCTCGCACACTTTTTGGTATTAAATCTGTGGATCTGTCGTCGTGGAGATCTCGAACGAGCGACGATTAGGTAGAAATATATCTATGACGTAATGGGGCGCGAACGATTGTTAGTTTGTAGTAATTGACGTTAATTGACATTTAATTGCGATTGGAATTATGACGGAAAAATTGGCCGTGTCGCCATTATGAGCGATCGTCGGTACAGCTCGTCTCTTTACTCCATGTTTGAAGTACTCTAAATGCGTAAATTAGATCGTTTTATTATTTAATTTATTTGTGTCAGTTAAATATATGAAATCGACACAATACAAATGCTCGCTGAATACATAACTAAATAAAATTGTATGGCTTAAATAGCAATACTGATCGATATGAGATATAAAAGATGAATATCTCATATCTCGTATTTAAAATATTAAATGTAAAATTTTTTATCTACTCTGCTCGAATCACTCTTTTACGAAACAAAATATTTTAGTCACAATTAATAATATTAATATTTCAGTCATTGTTTTTAGCTTTTAATTAAATCGTCCAAATTATTTATTTAAATTGATATTTTTCATGACTTTTCTGGACACGTATTACGGAATTTTGCGGAATATAGACTCCGATCGGAATTGTTCAATTATTTCTCAGATTTCTATTATGTTTTGTAGCGAAAACGAAAGAATTCCGATCGGAATTATTTCGTTTCCAGAATAAAAAATTATTTTTCAAAAAATTGATCGATCGAACGTGCCATCTTTAGGCATCAATCGCATCTCGTCTCTTTACGCCATATTTTTCAACGCACGAACAGAGTAGACCGTTCATCGTCGAGCGCGCGTTACGCTCCGTTCGCTTTTCCAAGAGATTCCCGCGTGCTTCTCTCGCAATCAGCAAAGAAGCGTGTAAGTCTGTTTCCTTGCATTTCCTTTCGCATTCGGTATCGAAGATATATCCTCGTAACTTTAAAAAGGGAAAAAGGGAGAAAGAAACGTGCACGGAAAGTACGAACGAGACGATGCGAGAGGATACGTGATCGATCCACTTGTACGTCTCGTTCGCACTTTCCACTTGCATTTTGCGTTTCAGCGTGAAACGAAATGCGCGTATCTATGTGAAGAAGGGAAAAGAAGGTATAGAAAATACCGAAGAGAACCGAAATGAACGGTAGTTATTATTTATAACGGCAGTTTATAATTCGTCGTCGCGGATTCTCGAGCGAGCGGTCGGTCGGCGCGGGACGTCGATAGTCGTGCAAGTTCGGGCGATCTCGGCGGGCCTCGGCGTGGCGCGATCGGCGATAGACGGCAGGGGGGACTACATTCGCGGTTGCGCGTAGGGACGCGGCGCGCAGGGTGTTCCGCGGTCGGCCGGGCGAGAGGCGAGAGTTGGCGGTGCGCGCTGGCCGGGGAGCGCGCAGATGGAATTAAACGGAGCGAGATCGCAGATGGACCTTCGCGTGAGGTGCGTGCGAGACGCGCCGTCTGTGTCACGTCGGGATTTCGCGACCGCCGTCGTGTGCGTTGTGTCGTCGATCCTCGTCCCTCGCGAGCGAGCGAGTGAGTGCGCGCGCGCGCGCGTTCCTACTCCGAGATCGGGATTACGCGCGGGTGACATTCGGAGCGTGCGAACGAAACGCAGAATCGCTCGCCGGCGTTGATACGCGTCGCGCCGAGGTGATACAATCAGGTTCGCGGGGGTCTTCCCGTCCCCGCGCGACAAATCCGCGAGTGCCGATATATTTCGAGCGCTCCGAAGTGCGCCGCGAGATTCTCCCGTTTCGTGTACCGTGTGAACGTGGGCACACGTGCGCGCCCGTCCCGCGTCTGCGCGCGGCGAAGTGACATGTTTTCGAATCCCCGACGGCGGCGGTCGGTAGCGGTTGACTGGTTGACTCGCGTGACGATCGGCGAACGAGAGTGGATTCGGGGCGACGACGGCGTAAATCCACGTGCTCCGCGCGGGAGTGTCGAGAGAACGGAGCAGCGAGGAGACGAGGAGGAGGAGCAGGAGCCGCTCCGCCGCGTCGATCGACGGGGGATACGTGCGAGAGGGGCGCGCGCGGTGAGTGTGTGAGTTACGCGCCGCCGAGAGTGGGGGGGGTTAGGAGAGCGAGCCGCGAGGCGACTGAGGCGAGGGTTTCGACCGGATCGCACCGCACTGACAGTCGACGAGGAGTGTGTTGTCCGCGCGGGTGTGCATATACCGCGGCTGCGCTGCGCTCGCCCGCGGGTGCCGTGCCGTGTGAGTCGCGAGGCCGCGACTTCGTAAACACGTATTAACGCGACGCAACGGCGGTGCGTGAGGCGACGGTGCACGTAATCCCGTCGCGAGTGTCGCGACGCGTAATCCTCCCGCGAAGAGATCGAGGTCGAGACGCGAGACTCGGCGACGGACTTTTGCGACGTCGCTCGCGGGAGCGCGACCGCGAGTGAGTGAATTCCCTCTTCGGACCTCTGAACACTATCGCAGTTTTCTCCTGGATTGCAGAATATTCACGGAGTGTGTGCGGACGATTGGCGATTTCTCGAGAGCGGTGGACTCCGCTCGGCCGGACGTCGCGGCGCGGGTGACGTTCTCGCCGGGAACAGCTGGCGGCGAATCTCTCTCTCTCTCGGAGTATCACCGGCGCGGCGCGCGTTCATCGACGCGCGTCAACGACCTCGGCCCCGTCCGCGATCCCGTAAAGGGAGCTTCCGTCGAGTGGTGTGTGCGCGCGAGATCGCACGACGGCGATTCGCGCGACTCGAGACGAAGGTGCCACGCGTCGCCTCTCTCGAAGGAGCCGTGCGTGCGTGCGTGACCCTGGACAGGCGTGAAAGTGACACTTGGCGCGGGAGCAAGCTGGAGTAAACACTTCCTGGAAGTAGCGGTTCCCGACGGGGCTCGCGCGCTCGCGCCGCGCCGCGAGGAACGGAACCGGTGCTGGCGCGAGAAAACGGAACCGGTGAGAAGAAAACCGCGGCGAGGGTGAGACGGAGAAAGGGGAGGAAAGAGGAAGAGGAAGGAGAGGGCGATGCCGTGCCTCGGCTGCGATCGCGGTTAATTCGCACGTGTCGCGATGTCGGGTGGCACGGCGGGCGGCGGCGGCGGCGTCCGCGGCACCGGCGCCGAGTGCAGGAAGTTCGCGCCGAACATATTCAACAAGAGCAAGTGCAGCAGCTGCTTCAAGCAGAAGGAGGAGCACAGCGCGGAGGCTCTGGAATGCAACAGGGTGAGTTTTGCTTGATGGACTCCTTCCATCTCCCGTCCCCCTCTCCCCCCCTTGTGATCCCTCTTCCTCGCTCTTTTCGACTCCTCGTTCGCTACCGCGCTTCCCTGCCTTCTCTCTGTTTCTCCCGCTTACGTAACTATACACGTAATTATAGTTGAATGTTATCATATGAATATTGGACCGAAAGATTCATCGCGTTTGGCGAAGTCGAGGGCAAAATTCTTCGACTCGCGAAAAGAAATGCTTGTTAGCATTACTCGAAATACACGCACGTATTAGCTTCGATAACGCTTTTCGAATCTAAGAAGAACTTTTTAAATCCTTTATTAAAAGTATTCTGATTCCCTGACTTTATTTACAACAGAATTTAATAACTTGATTCAATAATTAATTATTTTATAAGTTAGGGGGATTCATTGTTTTCATAAAACGTTAAGCTTCGACCTATTTTTCTTGCAATTTTTTATTAAGATTTATTTTGTGATATTGACTGCCATTCGTATGAGATATTAATCTCAAATTAATTAATATATGTATATCTTGTCATATATCATATATATATCATATATATGTTGTATGCTCTGCTGTACGCGTTCCTCGGTCCTTACGTTAGAGAATTTGCGTTCTAAGACACGATAAATGCCTCTCTGTTTCTCTCCGTATCGCTCTTCCGATGTGATCTCCCAGGTCTTCTCTCCTTTCCTCGCGCTCGTGCGCCTGACTCGTCTCTCCCTCCTTCTCGCTCACCCTCGAATTCCTTCTCGAGATCGAGGACGAGCGGAGTGAAGGAACGGAGGTCCTGGCCGCTCTGTCAGGACGTCGACGTTACGTAAGATCTGTCGCGGCCGTCGTTCACAAATCGCCTCGCGAACGCGAACGCACGTTTCGCTCGCCTGTCCTTCAAAACGACATCCGATCTTCCGGCTCGTTTGGCATCGCGACAGTCGCGGTTCATTAACTTTACCTAGCGCTGTCGCGCTGCAACTTTCCAGATCGATGTAGGTGAAAATGTTAGTTTGTTCGATCGCGACGTTACAGCGCCGCGAGCACAGCTGTCGTGACTCGTGACACATATTATTATTACGTAATCCGTACGTGCGGTATCGTGCATAAACTTCGAAACGAACGAACGAACGTTCCGGCATTGAACGGCTACAATGAGATAGAGATTTCAGACGAAATGACAATTGCAAAATTTCGCGTGAATTTGCATGTTACGATAGCGATTACCGTTTGACAATTATGTTGAGAGTCATGCCGCTACGCTGTTTGCTGCGTCGTGTACGCTTTTTTTTCGCAGCAATTTAATATCTGCTAGACCGCTCTCTCGATCTCGCGTTTACTTCGTAAACCCGCGTTTTTTATGACGGTTAATCATACGCATATAACGAGCGACAATTACGCGGCAATTTAAGGGCACGTCTTAAGTAAGCGTATATTATAAAATCTGGCGTGTTAAAAGAAATTGCTTGAGAGCAAAAGAAAATTTTGGACCCGGCTTCCCTTAACATCGTTGCACGTGAATTTTGTCTATACATATATAAAGAAACAAGACCATTAGTGATCTCTTTAACCATGTATGGATAAAGTT